AGATCTTTTTCAAATGTTTGGAAAGTATTTGTTGAGCTGTACTTTTTAATATGAATGAAATGTTAGATATAAATATTTTTCTATGTATGTGTATATTTATATATTATGTAGTAATAGTAGTAATCTTCTATGTAGAAGAAGTGCAAAGTGAATGAAAGAAACTAACTAAATATTCGGAGATTTAAAGTAGATATTTGAGAAATATGTATTTAATGTATAAATAATATTGAATATTGTTATACGCATATAACGAAAATTGAAGGTTGGCGTACATGTTGCCGAATCCCTGCTATAGAAAATGATTTTTATTTGAGAAATAACAATTTTGTGTAAATAAATGCGTTTCACTATGGATATAACGTTGGAATCGAAACGTGAAGTACCCATTGTCATTGAAACAACTGCACGATATCCTTACAATGTAGAAGAAATATATCTACCAGGTGTTTAGCTTTATACCTTGCAACCTTTTGCCTGAAGCATTGTTGTGCATCACTCGTACCTTTTAAGGTATCGAGTTTTGTTCAGATAACGTTTGCCGCACTGTGTAGAGTCAAGTTTTTAGGGGAACAGAGTTTTGGAATCATTATTTGGACAATGAGGGCGATTAACGAATATTGCGACTCGACTGTTCACAACAGTCGCGATTTCCTGTCGTCCTCTCACGTCCGACTGTCGCACTTTTTCCGAAATTGCATTTATTTCACGGGTCGGCCATGTTGACGTGTTCAAACGAGTACGCACTTACGCGTACTTTTGTTTGCCTCGAACACTTTTCCGATGAATAGCTAGTTAGCGTTGCAAGGCAGATGAGAGCCGACCAATCAGGCCCACATTCGTCAGTTCAGACATCGAGCGATCTTTCTAGGGTACTTAGGTACGTCACCAAGTTAGGGGTGGATGAATTCGACCCCAAACTCCATTGTGACGAGTCTCCCCTGTCGAAGCCGATTGGTCGAGAAATCATCCATGTTGATCGTTGAATTTCATGGGTGGGACCCGTTGTCAGACGAATGATATTTTGACGAGATGAAATTGTATTTGGAAGACGAGCAAATGATTTAATTAGTCAAACAGCAAGACAGCACGTACTTTCCCTTTTTTCGATTAACACTAGATTTACCGAAGTCAATTCGACTCATTTTGAATCTTATAAACATTATTTGCTAAATGTTTGTGTCGATTTCGATTAACCCTTTGCACTCTAAAAATTTGTCACTAGGAATATTCAATTTATTTTTATGAGATACAGATGACATTTTTTTCAACTAACTTAACGAAGGATCTATTCACAAAATAAGGAGAACTATGGTATTTTATTTCCCCATTTCACAGATTACTCAAGACTTAATGTTAAATACGGAATTTTACAATTTTGATGCACCAATCGATTGGTGACTGAGTCTATGTTTAAACCTCTAATTTCTGAAATCTAAACGAACGAATATCAATTTTTATAAAATAGAACAAGCTGTACTAATGTCCGTAAATCTAGTATTAAGCAGTCGATAGATAATTTAGCTTCATCTGAAAGTTTTGTATAGTTCAAACAATCCTCGTTAAGGGTTAACCTCTAGCACCATCATTTAGCAGGGGAAAATTCAGATCATGGTTGTAGCAGTCAATATCTTACGATATTTATGTTTGGCCCGAAATTGTGACCTCGAGTCTCACTCGTGTCGTTTGTGTTTCGTACAGAATTGTAATCACGAGTGAGACTCGTCGAAGTGGTGCAAGAAATTAGCTATTTGGGTTAGAATTTCGAGAATCTATCTAACTCTGTGGTACTTGTTTAAAAACAATCTTCTATGGAATAATGACTATAGGTATTCTGATTTTGTAACCGAGAGCTTCTCAGTTGTACCATGTTATTTGTTATTAAAAGTCATCGGTGTTGTTTCTATTCGATTCTTAACACGTTCGTAATCCTATATTTTACATAACGATGAAATTAATCCTATGGATATTATTATTAGAAATTAGAAACTGCGACATTATATTCAGGAACTCAACGACTCGTTTCAGTTCCATTTTTGTAACATTTTGCTTAGATTTATTGGATCGAAGAAAATATAATTGGAGACTATCGAACGCGTTAATGTGATTCACGTGTAATTCTTATAAAAACGGTAACAGAAGATTTCCCCCAGTTTCCCCGAACACCCGTTACAATATCCAAGCGAAGCTATTCTGAAAATCATCTCAAATATCTAATACTTCAAAGATACCGATAACTTCGACACTCGGAAACCGAAAAGGAGTCGCCCGACCGTTGCCGTAGTCCAATCGTTGGCGCAAAATTGTAACAATTCGGTAGCACGCGCTCGAAGCCTCCCGTTTGCGCGGCGAGAAATGAATACTAACAAACTAATAAGCCCGAACGTTAGCGAAGTCAGAGAATGAAGGGAAACGTCACGTGGCGTCGGCAAATTTGCCAATTTCCCTCGGTTCGTAAACGGTCTTCGGAAACGTCTAAATTACACCTTGAAAATTGATGGATAATCGTGTCGCGGCTATCGCGCAGCCGTACACTTCGCCGCTTATTAGTGAAATACGCACGTAAAAGGAAAGAAGACCAAGGAGCCGATAAGACGGCACGCCGATGAGGACGTAATTGTTCGGCGATTACGCGGTGTTTTGTTAGTAAAATTAGCGGGTCGGCCGGCCGAGTCGCGCGACTCCGTTTCGACGATAGGACACGGCCGCACGCACGCCGTGTCCGTGTCTAGCGTCCCGTTGGTTGTGCAACGGCGGTTGTTTACATCGATGAAATAAATGATACATTTGCAACTTTGAAAATACTCGGTCGGTCCCCGGTGAAATTTCACTGGCAACGCTAATTCCGCGCCGGGTAAAGAGTAAACCGTGTTATTACTTACTCCCGTTATCGCGTATACGTAATTGCGCGGCGCATCGCCGTAACATCGGCGCGTTCGCTATATCAAAAATTCATATTCGAGAGATTAGACAATGGTTCCGCCGTATCGCGTAGCTTCCCAACGTTTACATAAACACAATTAGTAATCATAATCGCTCCATTAACTCGAAGTACACCGCGACCGGTCGAACAACCGGCGATACCAATTTCAAATTTCAAATTCCGCTCCGCTCGTTCGCCTGATCTCGATCCCTCCGATCGGATCGGTCTCTCGATCGTTCTCCTCCCGTTGCTTCCGCTTCCACTAACATTCGTTCACCTTGTTTACTTCTACTTTACAATCATCTCCGTTCGACCGTTTCCTCGAAGAACAGGTAAACACTGCCGGAGCGTTCAGCGACATCCCTCGACTCGCGTATTATCCTCGAGACAACGAAATTCCGATCGCGAACGCGCTCGAGCCCTAACTTTCCGGCGCGGATCGGTGTCAATTAATACGCGGCAACCATCACCGGCCGACCCGGCGACGACCCCGTGCTCGCGCTAGCTCGCTCGCTCGCGAGTCCATAATTTGTTAATCGACGCGCTATCTTGTTAATTACCCGATAACGAGGCGATACGGCGCGCTCGTGGAATGAGATTCCGTTATCGCGCGCGCGCGGGCTCGTTTCGCTTTATCGCCGACGGCTAAATGGTAATTTGCTATTTATTTTCCGCGAGGAAAGCCGAGTAATGCGAGTTATCGCGGTTGCGGAACGCTTTGCATATCGACCGTGCCGCGGCTGGAAACTTGACCGAGCCGCGACGGACGTTCTCGCGGCGGTTTCGGTGTCCGCGGGGACTACTTTCCACGATCCGAATCCGACGTTTGCGCGATAGATAAGCTCGCTAACCGCGCCGCGGTGGAAAGAAACCTCCGCCGTTCGATTTCGTGTAACTCGTTTAATTGGAGCGCCCGGTAGAACGGGTATTAATTTACCTTCGATACGTGTCGGCAATAACGACATTGATACACTTTTTGCCCGGCAGCGCCGGCGGGGGGGCGGCCGAGCTAATTTCAACTTAATCGTCGTCTTATCGCAATTTACCGAGCATAAGTGAGCCTTAATTGACTCGATCGCTCTACAAGGACTGGTTGTTCCCGCTGCAAGCAGCGGGGCACAAAAGGCGCTCGCCGCGCAAAAAAGCTCGCTCGAACGAGCGTTTCTCGGCCGTGGAATGTCGAACGGTTCGGTTCCTAGAAAGTTCGTCTCCGCGATCGGCCGGCCTCCTCGTTCCCTAACTAGCCGGGGCTTTTCGGGATCGTCCCGGTCCTCGATCGAGGAACAATCTCCGGCGACGAGGCCGCTCGCCGACGAACGATCGATCACCGCGACGGAGGCCGCGTTCACACCTGACGCGCGATTTTCCGTCTCTTGCGCGATCGAATCCACGCGGATCGACTGTTACGCGACCGCGGGGAATGCTAAACGGATCGAGGTTGGCCTGCCCTCGCGCGTGTCCGCGGCTTCGGCGGACATTGTTCGGCGCCGATGGAAAGAAAGCGGGGAACGCCGGTGTAATTGGGCCCGGTGGAGGCAGGTAGGACGCTTGTTGTTTGTATTCTCGGATACTTATCGACACTGTCCGCCAATATCGCGTTGTATCGGTAATATCGCCTCTCGGCGGTCGCGGGCGACTGCGGGCAGCGTTTAAAATTCAATATTAAATTCCGTATCGCGATAGCGTACTCCGTTAATGTGTACATTCTTTCCGCCGTTGATTGCGAGGGGTACGGGCGATCGCGAGGAATATCGTCGGATGTCGGAGATTATCACTGAAACTACCGGATAAATGAAAACAAGGAATTCCAGAATCCCTGTTCCGCGAGCATCGGCATAAACACGCGTTCGTGAGAGGCGAAATCAGTTTGACTCGTGTGCTCGCTGGTAATGTTTATCATCACGGACTTAATCCATACCCTAAACCAAACATACAAGGACTCCTCGTGGCATCCCCACCAGCTCCCCGATCGACGCTACATCGGCGAGCGGGCGATCGAGTGAATCTCAAACGATCGATACAGGCTTTACGTAATCGCGATTATCGTGCGATCTACCGTGTAATGAATGGATCGACTCACTCTGAGCTGTGTCCGTGTCCTCGGCCGCGGGCAGGTCTGTCTCCTCCACGTCGACCAGGCTGCGGATGCTGAAGACGCTCTTCGCGACCCTGGTCTTCTGAAGGTCGCTGGTCATGCTCTCCGAAGCCCTCCTCGGCGTGGTGCTCAGGTCCATCGTTGACCCGCACAATGTACTCACTGGTGACGTCGGAAGAACCGGAGCCGGGTTAACGGAGAACAGGAGGAGACGAGGATCCTCGGTCACTGTTCACGTCCGTGTCCCGACACTCTTCTGGGATGAACGCGCGGTTCGCACTGTGACGCTTGCAAACGGGAGAAACGGAGCACGGATCGGCTCGGGATGGTTCCTTCGTGAAAGGTTGGTCGTCGGCGTCGCGAACTCGCGGACGGATCTTCGATCGAACAGCCTCGATGTCCCGGTCGCATTCGACGGTCCCGTGAACTAGACCTTGAAACGGTTCTCAGGGAGACGATAAAATGTCGTCCGAACGATCGCAGCGGCGGACAACGCGGACAAACACGTCGCACGAGCCTCGACAACTCTCCGATCGAGACGCGCGCATCTCGGTCCCGCGCGCCGGAAGGATCCTAATCGCGCGGCTCGGCCCGATCGATCGATATCTCGCGGGGATTCTTGTTATCGGCCTCCCGATAGAATTCCGACCGTATTATCCGGCCGATCTGCGAGCCGCCGGAAATTTGATATTTATCCGTAATGCGCCGATATCGCGGGCGACCGGTCGAGGGTATCTCTTTCTCTCGCGAACGCCCTGTCCTCTCCGAGCGCGTCCCGCGTTCAACTGAATTCTGGCTGGCCTGACGTCCGGTGTAGACGTGCTCGCGAGGGTCCCGAGGGATCGGCAGGCTGGCTGGTCGGTAAATAGCACTCGTCGTGCTCCGCGAAGAAGAAGAAGAAGAGGAGGAGGAAGGCTGCCAGGCGGGACGATGCTCGCGCGTTATCGAGCCGATTGTTGCCAACGCCGCGTATCATTGCAGACTGAACGGATTCGCCGGCAGCCGGTTTCGGGCAAAAACTACTCGTTGTGTACCAACGCGTATCGGCTGCCGCGTTACCTGGAAATATCAATGAACCCGTGGCAAACGAGTCACCGGGCACCGCTCGACATTCCCCGTGTTTGTGTTTACCGAGTCCCCTCATTCATCCACGGTGTCCACGGCTAGGAGCCGGTGGTCCCGGGTGCCGGCGACGTCTCGATCATCCTTCGCGGCCGCCGTGAGGATCGTGCCGTACCCGCGGTTCTCCGGTCGAACTGGTCCTTCACTGGAACCGGCCGTCACTTCGGGTTCACGAGCATGCGGAATCACACTGTCACAACGATCCGGCGATCGAATCACCGCGGCTGTCC